CACCACAGGGCATGGAAGGCTACACTGCAAGTAACTGTGCTGCTGAAAACAGAGAAACCACAAACTGCTCAGCACCTCCTTCAGAAACCCATGTGCTGCACTTCAGAGTGGCCGATTGCCAACTGGCTGCACATGAGCCCAGAGCAGACACAGGAAAGCAAAGCTATCCCGAAGCAGATATAGTGTTTAAAGGAAAAGTCACTGCAACCAGGTTGTAATGGGAAAAAAGCAGCGAGCACTTTGATGGAGCAGAAGTTAAGACTACCACTACGATTTAAGAAAGCAGGAGACAGACCCTTGTAGCTCCCAAACCACATTAAAAACACAGTATATGCTTTTTATGGAAGAGAAATTTCGATCTCCCAGATTTTACTGGAGGTGGTTGGCTCTGTTTATCTGGAACATGCTGAACCCACCAGAGCCAGCAGATGAAAAATCTGTGGTAATTCTGACAAGTGTTGGCAAACAGAACTGTCAAGTAAGGATAATGACTTTATATTCACAAAGCACTTCTCATCCAGATAGAACCCGGAGTGCTTTACAATTGTTACTAATGGATTATACACACACATGAATCACTTTGCCCATGACTGCAATGGAACAGCTTTAGGAGTGAACTGTTTAACAGCACATAGCAACACTACACCCCAGTTTAGCACAGGATCCAGTTGCAAATCCAAGAGAAATTTAGGAAGGCAGAATGTAATTATCCACATTGCGATGTGCGCAGGACACTGGGTTTACATTACCCCTTCATTCAACAACCACCACTGGAAATATGGCAACTGTCAGCATCTAGCACAGCACTCTGTCACGATGGGAAGAGGACAAGGTACCTTTTTGGCCCTGTTCCCATTAAATTCCAGAGAGCTGAGCAAAACTGAGCTGAGCCTGCAGAGAACAAGTCACTTCAGGGATGTGTGCGACTACCAAAGTCGGTGTTAAATCCCACCTGAAAGATGGCACCTTTCCATCCATAAAGCCTAAAAGGGACTCTTTGATAACATAACAGAGCACTTGGGAAGAAAGAAGCTTGCACTCCATCAGCAGTGTTACTTCCTCCAGCACCTGTTTCTCATCTGCAAGCTTCCCAGAGGGAAAACAAGGGGCTCTGTTTAATCCTGATTAAACTTGTGAATGAAGGAGCAGAAAGAATTTCAGTCATCTAAGCGATATAACAACAGGTTGAAGAAAACAGTGCATTAGTGATGGGGAAGGGGAGAAGGCTTTTGTTTGTTTGGATTTTTTTGGGGGGGGGGGCTTTAAGAGTTTCAGGTAATTGTATGCTTATCATTATAGTGAAAATAATAGAATAAAAGGCAAAAATATAGAAAGGAATGTTAACACACACAATAAGTTTTGGAGCAACTTTTCTAACAGCTGTTCCACATTTGAGTAACTTCAAATCACACAAGAAGCAAAATCTGAACTAAAAAATACTTTCAAAATGTTAGAAACATCGGTACCAGCAACTTCTTAACCCCCTCCAAGCCCTAGTCTCAAGGCCATGTTCAAAAGCCATGTGAAATTCCAAGGCTGTAGCCAGCAGTTTTCACTGATCTCAGTAAGAGCTGTTACGAGTTCAGTACATTAGATACACCAATTTCTCTATGAAATGCAATAATCTGAGACCAATGTTACCCCTTCAGACAGAGAAAACTGCTATTAAAACCTCACAGTGTGTTCCTGCTTTTCTTCTCCTCTAACCCTCACCCAAATTGCCCTGGATTTAGAGCACATGGAACACCATCATCCTTGGCAAAAGATGTTCAAACAGTTATCTAACAGCAAACACATTATTATGATCATTAGGTTAAAAACCAGGACTCATAAAACCAGAAATTTGCCTACAATAGATTAGGAAACAGGAAATCTTTAAAAGGAACGAGAGCTACAATACAGCCTTCTGAAACAAAAGGAAGAATATTAGAGTAAGTAATTCTTCTTTTAACAATCATGTAGCATACAACAGCTGAAGAAAGTAAACACTAGGATGCTGCGTATCTCTATGAAAGGCAGGAAGCTAATGGGAAAGGGTGACTACAGATGGAAAGCCTGGAATCAAAAGGAACTCTGAGATTCCTCACCGAGCCAGTGACCATGAGATCTACCTAAAAAAAGCCAAGTCTGGAAAATTCATCATCTAGAACCAGAAACTTCACTGCACAAGTATTTAATCTAGGCTGAACTAAGTGAAAAACTTTGTCTTCAGAGTGGTCTAAGATTAAACTTAATTTATGCACCTCCTTTAGAGGAGAAGTCAGACCCTTTGTCAGAATTGTCTTGTTCACTTCACTACTACCCTCAGCAATGAGAACAAAGAACACAGCAATCAGAGGGTCAGGAATCAGCATGAACATCTGATTCCCTTTCACATTAGGAATACCAGTGACCAGAGATAACAAAAGGAGACTGACAAGCAGCAAAATTAACTGTGTACAGTGATGTACACGGAGCTGGAAAACATTTGGATAAAAAGGATCAGGAAAAAGTAGGAGTTAAGTACCTGAAAAGCTCCCATCTGTCAGAAATCATCCATTTCAAATAAACCCGCTTTTGAAACAAAACTGCTAACAAAACAAAGGTGTCTTTCAAAAAAAAAGAACATGATATTCATCTGTCTTTTTCATCATGGATCATATTCCCAGATAAACTGATAATGGAAATCAGCCAGGAGTTCAAGTTTCTTTATTCAGGACTTTCAGGTGGAAAATACTGTATCTAGTTGAATGACACATCTCCAGATAGGGTTCTTACTTCTTCATTGCTTCCTTCCACCTGGAAGCTCTGTATTTCAGTAGTCTGTCAGGCACAGCTCAACAAAATGTTGTCTTCTTACCTACTGAAGTAGCAAGTGGCCCTCTGAAAGGGTTCTCTCGAGTATGCTGACAAGTTTCCTAAAATCTTGCCCCTTGCACGTTTGTCAAATCCCTGTTTTTTTGCAACGAGTTCCATCTACACTTGAAGACTATTTCATTTAGTTCAGGTGGCCAGCAGGAAACTTTGGCTTGCATGCACTGGGTGTTGCTTTAGTCATGCTAACTGTAGCTAGCGTACACACACAGCCTGTAGGTATACACGTGGTTGAGTGACAGAGATGGGAGAACATACCTGGTTAAAGTATCTTAAGCAACTTTCCTGACACCAAAACCAGCAGAAACAGCACTTGAACAAGCACTTTGCACATGCACTCTCCTGCAAGAAAAGGGAACGTTTGGTTACTGGACACAGAATGAGACTCAAACCTGCCATTTTAGGAAAACTTGCCTTACAGGTGACTGACTCTTCTAATAAAGCATTCACTTGGGCACAAGGTGTTTCCTTTTGAATTACAGGAACTGCTTTTAATTCACACCCTTTAGTATTGATGACTGATGAACTGAGCATGTCTTTCTTCCTGTGGATGGGAGACTCTTCTCTGGGAAAAGAAAGTAAGTGCTACAAGCAGCTTTGTGAGCTAACAGCTATTTGGAGAGCAAAGCAGGCAGGCAGCTCAGTAACCCTTACAGCACTTCCCAGTGATCAGGAAGTACACCAGCACTCTCCAACTCTTCTGTCTATCAAAAAACCTTCACAGTTCTCAAATGACTGGTACCTTAATGGACAAAAATAAAAGAATGGGCAAAAGGCTTGTATGCACATAGAATCCCAGCCTACTTTGTCATTGAAGGGACCTTAAAACTCACCCAGCTCCAACCCCCTGCCATGGGCAGGGACACCTCACACTAGTGTGTCCAGCCTGGCCTTGAACACTGCCAGGGAGGGGGCAGCCACAGCTTCTCTGGGCACCCTGTGCCAGCACCTCAGCACCCTCCCAGGGAAGAGCTTCTGCCTCAGAGCTCATCTCAATCTCCCCTCTGGCAGGTTAAAGCCGTTCCCCTTGTCCTGTCCCTCCAGGCCCTTGTCCAAAGCCCCTCTCCAGGCTTCCTGAAGCCCCTTTAGGCACTGGAGCTGCTCTAAGGGGTCCCCTTCAGGAGCCTTCTCTTCTCCAGGCTGAACAGCCCCAGTGTTCCTAGCCTGTCTTCATACAGGAGCTGCTCCAGCCCCTGATCATCCTCGTGGCCTCCTCTGGACTTGCTCCAGCAGCTCCATGTCCCTCTTATGCTGAGGACACCAGCCCTGCCCACAGTGCTGCGAGTGGGGTCTCACAGAGCAGAGCAGAGCAGAGGGGCAGGATCCCCTCCCTGACCTGCTGCTCACACTCCTGTTGATGCAGCCCAGCACACGGGGGGTTTCTGGGCTCAGGTACACACTGAAGAGGTTCATGTTCAGTTTCTCGTCACCCAGCACCCCCGAGTCCTTCTCCTCAGGGCTGCTCTCAATCCATTTTCCTCCCAGCCTGTATTTGTGCTCGGGATGGTCCCAAGCCTTGTGCAGGCCCTTGCCAAGCCTCATGAGGTCCACATGGGCCCACCTCCACACACACGTGTGTGTACTGACTCAGAGCATGGATTAATTTTTCAGGAGAGGAGGAAATATCATGTGTTAGAGCAGACCATTCATAGACCATTGATCTATTAATTTCATACTAAATAGCAGAGCACAAAAGCTCAGTGTTCCCCCCATCACATCATGAGCTCAGAACTGTTTATCATAGGAAGATTTTAACAATCAAGACAAGAAAAAGACAACTTGGTAGCTGTGGTAGCCTTCCAACTTTAACTGCCTGTTTCTCAGCAAAAGGAAACTCAAGTGACACTTGAGTCTTTTCAATCTTCTTTTTCCAGAGGTCAGAATGGTTTTGTTTTGTCTTTGAAAAGCATAGATCTTCCAGTCACTGTATGAAAACCCCAGATCCCCACAACTGCCATTGTTCACGCAGAAACCACAAACCTGCCAACATTTTCCCATTGACAATCTTGAACATATTCCAGGAATAATTCCCTTAAAATGGTGACTGCACATGCAAACTCCTGACAGCAGAGAAATACTTTGATCTTGCCGTGTACTGCTGGAGAGATGATTTTACTAGAGCTGTATTAATCTCAGTAAATACTATTTGTTAAAGACTTAGAGTAAATGACTTCAACTGCAATCTCCTCTCTGATTCTGCTTCAAGACTGCTGTGTAGAAAACATGCATGAATTTACCCTGACTTTTCCTCTTGTTCAGAGAACTTTTTATCCTTCATAGAAAACTTTATATATAAACACTAAATAAAGGTGGTTTATATACACCTACCTTTTGTTTTAGGATATTATAAAGGTACAAGAGAAGTATCCTTGGTATTCTCAATATTGTGATCAGAAATGAGCCTTTTACAGCAGTTCCTAGATGATAGCAAAAAAGAACTGATATGGAAGACAGGACTGGGTGAGGTGGTGGGTTATCCTTGTTCCTAGAAAGAAAACCAAACAATTCAAACATGTTTTAAAACCTTAACTGAAGGACATATACATGGTATCTTTTCAGGATCAGGAGATTTCAATAACTAAGCCAGTATCTCTTTTCCCACTTCAACAACTCTAGTTTTCTTACTGACTTCATCTGAATGTTCACCTTAATCCAAAGGAAAGCAGCCAAGGGTATAACTTTTATTGGATTAGTTTAATTCTTAAGCAATGACTGTTTTGGTGTATTCAATAATGGAAAAAGATCTACAAAAAACCTACAGTGGAAAATACCAAAAGTAAGTGAACACCATCTGAGAATACCTCCTTGAACCCCTCTCTCCAGTTTCTGTCACTTCTCCTATTCTCCACAATCTTTCATGTTACTGTTCTTTCTGCAAGTTCTTAGGCTGAAGGAATGAATCTGCTCTCTCTGCTTTAGAGATAAAATTCAAACTAGAAAAAATATCACATCCACAGTTGAGATCTAGTATCTGCTTTTACTGATGAAATTTGGTCAACTTTTGCTTTAAATGCTGTTGCGATAATTATGTCTTTTTCACTGAACATGATTTGTTTTCCAAGGGAATTCTTGGTTCCTTTATAAAGGTCAGTTTAATGTCAATCATTTACAGACAGTAGTATGACACAGCTCTCAAGAATGTACATAAAAACCAGGGAAAGAACTTCAAGCCACTCTCCTATCCCTTTTCAAATGCTGTAAGAAAAAAATCAGATAGATTTATGCTATAAATACCTTTAAAAAACTGTTTCAGAGGATTAAACACACACACACACACCCCCCATCAACAGCCATAAATAGCCCTTCTATAAAGCAACTCTGCAGCAACTGGCCCAACCCTGTAAAATTTACTTAGATAAGAGTAGCAGCAATGTGGCTCAGCAGTTAAGATCACACCTCATATCACAAAGAAGATGTCTTCTTTTCATGAGTGACTCCTTCGAAACATCTGTTATCTTGAACAGTTAATAGTTTGCACAATAAACTAAGAAATAAAAAGGCAGTGATAAGAGAGTGACTGGTTGGGGCTAAAAACCTCTACAAGGGTATAAATCCTACACACTATAGCAAGAGAGGTATCACAGTTCTACAAGAATCCTGGAGGTATCGCTGCAGTTCATGCAAAACACTAATACTCTGCAAGCAAAAAAGTTGTATTTAAACATGTGAATATACCACATTATTTTAAATAGGAAATTCCAGGAAAGCAGTTGCTGCATTTATTATTTTTGGTCTTATGACTAGGGGAACGGCTTGGGGGATAGTGGAATTTGATACTGAATAAGGCAGCTTGTTGGGGTTTCTGTGTTAGAAGCACATCCATAGCAATATAGATGAGTTACTCTGTCCATACCATGGATATGTTTGTTTCCTTTTCCCTCATACACTACCTTACAGATGACAGTCTCAGCCAGGTCTCAGAATATAAAAGATTGAGTTTGTGCCAGTTGAATGTTAACCAATGGTGAGAAATACAGAAAGAACAAAGTTTACCCTCATATTAATAATTTACTTCCTACTGAAGAAAAAAAATGAAGAAGGGGTCTGATATCTTTAACAGGGCTGATTAATGAGCAGG